GACTTCCACGACGTCATCGTCCGAGCCGGGCCCATTGGATGGTATTGGGCTGAGCAGGGAATCCCGCGAGGAGTCGAGGGGAGAGCTGTCTTCATCGCTCCAAGGGCGGGGGCCGGGGTGAGGGTCAGTGGGGTCTTGGTCCGCGAGCGCTGCTTCCGCTTCGTCCTCGGAGGTGAAGAAGCTGCGCGGGGGTCAATCGTAATCCGCGATGTTTGTTTCTCCCCTGGTGCGGTCAGCGTGGCGGTCACACTGGAATTTGCGGATCGTGAGGTCTTCATAGAAGATGACGTCGCGAGCCGCCACCACTTGGGAGGTATCGTGGTCGAGGATGTTCCAGGCGTTGTGTTCAAGGCTGATGCCGAGGTGCACGCCCTAGCGCGCGCGACGTTCGAGTTTCCCCGTGGTTGCTGCTGGTGGCCGATATTGAACCATGCAGCCCCAGACACAGAGCATGGAGACATCTCCCTGCTTGCCGGTGAACTTCAGGTGAGGGGAGAGGTTGTCGGTGTTGGCAATGGTGCTGAGCAGATTGTGAAGGCGGACAGCGTGATGCATGGCGTATGGCCAGTACTTCGTGTCGACGTCGCTCTGCTGCATGAGGGCGCGAACCTTCGTCATGAGAGTGCGGTTGGTGCGCTCCGCGACGCCATGTTGTGGGTGCGCGTAAGGTAGGGAGAGCGTGTGCACGATGCCTTTGTCCGCGATGTAGTCCGCGAACTTGACGCTCTTGAATTCGGCTGCGCAGTCAGTTTGCCAGATCTTGAGGGTGCAGCCCGATTGGGTTTCGAAGTTGGCGTGCCAGACCTTAAAGACGTTGAACGCCTTGCTCCTGTGGGTGACGTTGGCCACCCAGACGTAGCGAGAATGAGCGTCGACGAAGGTGAGGGTGTATTCTTCGCCGTTGATGCCGGCCTGAGTGAGAACGAGAAAGTCGCTGTAGACTTTCTGAAGTTTTTCGTAGTGGTTTGTGCCAGGCTCGAGGAGCTTGAAGGGCTGGTGGGCCAGAGCAGCTTCGGGGCAGATGTGGCAGTCGGTGCGCTGAGAGGAAGAGACAGTGAGCGGGGTTCCATCCCGGCGGAGTAGTGTGCCAGGCAGAAAAACTTGTGCGCGGATGCAGTTGTTGAGGACCTCCTGGGAGGGATGGGTGAGGCGTTTGTGCCAGAGGTCGCGCTGTGCGCGGATACTAGGAGAGCGAGCGTAGAATGCGATGAGTGAGGTGAGGTCGGTGGGAGTTGGTGCAGGTATTGGTTGTGGTGAGATGGACAGTCCAAGAGCAAGGATGATTTCTTGAGTGGTGGGATCAGTAGGTGCGTCATCTATATCTGCTGTTTCTTCGGGAAGGTGTGGACGAGGCATGTGGTGAGGCGGTAAGTTGTGAGAGGCTTTGGGTGAAGGTGGGTCTGTAGCACTTTCCGAAAATCGATCTACGGGAAGGTTACCATCAGATTCGGGTCGAACCATCGGACTGCGCCAAGACAGCTTTTAGGACTAGGTACGGGTCGTTCGAGTACACCGTGATGCCCTCCGGGCCGACCAACGCAACGGTGACGTTTCAGATGACCATGAACGAGGCGTTTAGGCCGCTTTTAGATAAATGCGTGATAGTTTACCTCGACGACATCCTCGTCTACAGTCGCGACAAGCAGCAGCACTTAGCGGATTTGGAAGCAGTATTTGAAATTTTAGACGAGCGCTGCCTACTGACCAAGGGTTCCAAGTGCGAGTTTTTCCAGGACACATTATTGGGGCACATTATTTCGGAGGCTGGGGTTGAGATTGACCCGAAGAAGCTGGACACGGTCAAAGCGTGGCACCCCCCTACAAATATCACGGAGCTGCTGAGTTTTTTGGGGTTCGTTAATTACGTCCGTCGGTTCGTCCCCGACATGGCCCGCTTAACAGCCCGACTGGCGGATTTACTGCGGAAGGGGGTCGCTTTTACGTGGGGGGGGGGGGGGGGGGGGGGGGGGGGAAAGAGCAAGCTGCCTTCTCTGCCCTGTAAAATATCCTTTCTTCACCGCCCGTATGCGCATCGCAGACCCACACCGCCCGTTCGAAGTTGTAACCGATGCAAGCGACATCGCCATCGGAGCTGTACTGCTACAGGAATTTGGCAACGACCTACAGCCCATCGCATACAAATCACGAAAACTGCATCCACCCGAGAAAAATTACCCGATACACGACCGCGAAATGCTTGCAATCGTGCACGCGTTCAAAGTGTGGCGCTGTTACTTGACCGGCGCAGACGTGACAGTACGGACAGACCACAAATCACTACATTGCCTCCGCGCACAGCCCCACCTCAATCCACGACAGATTCGCTGGCTCGATTTCCTCGAGTCAAATCTCCACTACACGGTCACCTACAAGAAGGGGGCATCAAACATCGCCGACGCACTGACCTGCCCCACTGCCCAGATCCACGCCATACTACTCGCCCAGACCAGCCCACTACTGACAGGACTATTTACCCACGGCTACCAAACTGATCCATTCTATACCGGAGGAAATTCGCAGCAGTTCGCCACAGCAAAAGGAGTTTATTACGTAAAAACCGGGGCTGACCGCATCTGGGTACCAGGGTACACATTACTGCAGGAGCTACTGCTACAGGAGCCACAAGATGGAGTTACCTCAGGGCATTTCGGAGTAGAAAAAACACGGCAGCAACTGCAGCGATATTATTACTGGCCTGAGATGCTGACCGACTTGCAGCGACACGTGGCATCGTGTCCCACCTGCCAGCTCATGAAATCATCACGGAAGCGGCCGGCAGGACAGTTGCAGCCGATACCACCCCCAGAGCGTGCTTGGCAGCAGGTGACGATGGACTTCGTCACGGGGTTACCGGCTGGAGCGAGTGGGAATGATGCTATCTTGGTCGTCGTCGATCGGCCGACGAAATGGCACACTTCGCAGCTTGCAAAAAATCATTTACGGTCGAAGAAACAGCTCGCCTCTTCATCGTTCGACTAGACGGGATACTAGTAGCAATCATTAGCGACCGCGACAAGAAATTCACTAGCAACTTCTGGCGGAACCTGTGGCAGCAGTTCGGCACACGACTACAGTTTTAGTTCTTCATACCACCCCGAGACCGACGGACAGACAGAAAGGACAAACCAGACCATGGAGCAACTCATCCGAGCCACGTGCGCCAACCCAACCACCTGGAAACAGCAACTGCCACTCATCCGTTTCGCATACAACAACTCGCCATCCGCCACGACCCAACAGTCACCGTTTTACCTGAACTACGGACAAATCCCATGTACCCATGATCCCAAATCCCGACAACCCGGTACCACACGCACAACAGTTCGCTGAGATTTTACAGGCAGCACGGACCCGGGCAGCAGACGCAATAAAAAAAATCAAACATCATCACTAAACGTAACGCAGATCGCCACCGCCGACCTGTTACCTACCAGCTCGACGACCTAGTCCTACTCGACACCCAGAACCTCCGCCTGCCCGTCACCCCAAAACTCCGCCTCCGATATTGCGGGCCATTTCGCATCAGCCACATGATCACACCCGTCACCGCCCACCTCCTCCTCCCTGCTGACTGGTACGTCAACCCGTCCTTCCACGTCAGCTTACTTCGCCCCTACGTCCCAAGCACCAGCCAACTGCCTCGCAACCGCCCAGCCAGCATGACACGACCGCCGACAGAGCCAGTCATCACGCCCGACAAGATTCCGAGCCACCGAGTTCGTGACCCACGGGGAGCTCGACGGATCGAGTTCGTGATCCGCGGGAAGGACCGTACACCCACTGAAGACAACTGGGTTCTCTCGGACAGAATTGAAAATCTCCTCGTCCTCGCCGAGTATCTGCGCAGCCAAAATTTCGTAAGGAAGGCCTCCTTAGAGGGGGGGTTAGTGTAAGGAAAATTCATTTTCCTTACTTCGCGTCCCTGCTCAGCGCGTACAGCACTGTTCCCGCCAACAGCACCCAACAGTAATCCGTTACCACTCGCGACACTCGCCTCGGTACTGTTCCCGCCACTGTTCACGACGCGACCCAACCTCACGGTTCGGTTGGTAACCCGCGCTCCGGACCTCCGCCTCGGCATTTCCCACCCTCGGCGCTAGGCCCGTCGCGCACCCCAATTTCCACACATTACCGTTACCACTGTAGTTTCGCTATATATTCTTCGCTCATGCCTTCGCTCATTGTACTCTTGCTTCGATAGTGCAATTCTCGCTCGCTCGCTCAATTGCACTCGTAACATTGAATCACAACTTGCCAGCTGGTGCTTTGGAAGCCTCGAGCGAACAAGTAACAACCTGTTTTCCAAGCAACAAAAAACTTCTCCATATAAAAACCGTGGAAAAGTAAGTGTGTTTTGAGACGTCTCAAAACTACCCCCAGCCCGCGTGTTGGAGGAGATGCTCGTTGTTGTAACTAGTTAGCGAGTGTGCTGGCGAGAAGAGTCGCATGTTGTGCGAAAAGGACGCCGTTGAAGATCGGTCGTAGGAAGACTGGCGGGTAACCGCTGGCACGAAGTCGCTGGAAGAAAGCAACCTTTGTCGTTCGGAAGGCCGTCGCTGAGGTCGAATGTAACAGGTAACGTTGCAGTTCGGCGCGGATGAACCCCTCTTTACAGTGCCGTGGGTTGAAGGAGGAGAAGGGGAGGTATAGGTACCTATTCATCGGCTTCTGGAATGTGCCGAGGTCTAGGAAACCAAGTTCGTGGAAACGAGGCCCTAAGAACCACATCCAGAAAATTCACCGAACGTTCCAAGATGTTCCACGTGATCCGAATGTTCGGATCCAAGCTGTTGAAGGTGCGCAGGTAATCCTACAAATCAGACCGCGCGCCTGGCCAGATGATCAAGCCATCGTCAATATATCGGACGTGGTAACAAGGTGACTCCCTGGTCCACCTCTCCTTCAGCAGCTCATCGAGACAACTCAAGAATAGGATGGCGAAGCAAACGGCGACGGGGGTTCCCATCGCAGTCCCGTGCACCTGGTGGTACATCCGATCGTCAAATTCCACGAAAGAATTTCTCATGACCCAACCCAGAAGGGCCATGAGCGGTTGAGCGAGCTGCGGGATTTTCCCTCGGCAAGAAACGGCTAACTACTTCGAGTCCTCGATCAATGGATATGCTGGGGTAGAGCGAGGTGACGTCGTAAGTAGCTAAGAGGATGTTAGGCGGGAAGGCCGTTGTCTCCAGCTTCGCTAGCAATGCGAGAGAATTGCGCAGATAGGTAGCACGTTTTAGAACTAGCGGTCGAAGTTGCGCATCCAGCCACCGACTCGCGTTAGTTGTCACCCATGAGTGTAAAGCTGCAATCGGGCGCCCCACTGGTGTCTTCTTATGGAGTTTGGGTAGGATGTAATAAGCCGCTAGACGCCACCCTCCTGGCGGTTTGTCAAAGAAGAATTTCCAGATACTGTTCGGGAAAGCAGGCCCCCATGTCGTCTTCAGCTTGCTCAGCTGTTGCAGAACACGAGGAGTTGGGTCGTGACGAACCGGTCTGTAGACATCCGCGTCGCTCAAATGCTCCATACACATCGCGACGTAGTGTGCTCGATCCATCACCGTCACTCCCACATGCTTGTCAGCTGCCTTGATGACTATGCTGCTGTCGAGCGATAGGGAACGTATAGCCGCGCGCACACCCCGTGAGAGGTTCTGTCCCCGCAGCGGCTTACACGTCTTCACCAGGAAAGAAAGGTCGGCTCGCGCCTCCTTGAAGACTTGCTCCGGGACCTCGGCCCGATCGGGCCACCAATTCGGATTCTTCACCCGGAAATGTGATGAAGCTGATGGTCCTTTTCCCTTGAAGAAAAAGTCGAGGGAGATCCGTCGATGCAGCTGATGCAAATTTGCTTCGATGGAAAACTTCCAGGCTGATGTTGGTATAAACTTCAGTCCCGTCCCAAGCGCCTTAGTCTTGTCGCGAGATAAGACCTTAGCGCTCAGATTGTGTACTCCCCGGTCCAGAATGCGTGACTGCGCCTGTCATAGAGTCGTCAGCTTCCCGAACCAGCGGAGTGCGAGGTTTTGAGGTGTTAGTTCTTGAGCGGCCCTTTAGCTGGGCCGCCGCCGCCGTTTTTTGGAACCTGGGCCGTACTCGAGGAAGTTTGTTGGCCCTTCCCTCCGTCGCCACCTGAAGACTTTGCTTTCTTCTTTCCCTTCCCGCGACGCCGCGTAGCCTTCGGTACATGTGCCTTGGCACCAGTGTTCATCTGGCGATCCTTGGACGGGTCCGCCTTGGGCTTTGCTGCTGCAGGGGCCGGCTTGAAATCCTACGATCCCATTGACAAGCTCTTCTTAAACTTGGCAGTAAGCTTCGCTTCGACGCTCGCTGTAACCTCCTTGCACATCGCCTCCGCGTGCTTCTTGGCAGCTTTTCGAACAAGCTCGTTGATCGCCAAGTCTGTTTCCAGGTGCTCCATCTCTTCGGCAGCGGCTGCTTTCTTCAATTCTTCAGCGTCCTTGATTCTCTGCCTCTCCAGCTCCTTGATGATAAAATTATCTTTGGCGACAGCAATCTCCGACTTGGCTTTCTCGATGCAGATCCCTTCGGTCTTCCGGTACCTTTCCCTAGCCGCATCAGATATGGTTAGTTCCGGATCCGCAGTCAAGCCCTTGATGTAGTCTTCGAGCTTAGTAGGCAGAGTGGTGAAATGCGAGGAGGACGCCGCCAGGATTTCCTCAACCTCCGACTCCTTAGACTTGATGAAGTCCTCCCGAAACCCGAGATGAACCGAGGCGACGGATGCGGCAGACTTCTCCCGAGTAACCGGGTACTTCGTATGAAACTCCACGGCTTTGGTGCGGATGCTGTGTAAAATCACACCTTGGCCATTTTGCGTCTTCATCTTCTTCAGCTTGGACTTCGCCTTGAGGAGCGCCTTAAAATCCGCTCTGAAGCCCTTGACAGCAGCCGATGTCCAGCCTTTAAGGGTGCGTTAGATCCGTTGTCGGAAAAATCCGGCCGGCCGGAGTTTGCGAAGGTTACACACTTGCGAAGGTCGCAATGAGTTTCGTCAGCTTCGTGGAATCCGGCCACTTGTCAAAAATTTGATGGCCGGTTCAACATTCGACAGGTTTCCGACGTGCATTCGAATCGAGAGTCGCCCACTTTGTCGACTCGTCAGCGCTACAGTACTCAGGCGACTTCGCAAGCGTACCCAAGCAACACAACGTGTCATAAGGACGGCGCGCACGGCACTTTCAGCGCCGTTGAACAAGACCATCTTTGGGCGTCACACTTGTGAAATGCGGCACGTGCAAAATCACGCAAAACCAATCCGCGACCCGCCAACCAGGCTTGACTGGAATGGGATTGTTCAACTTCCTCGTCACCTCACTTCATCGCATACTGGGTTTTAAAACCACAGACACGCTCGTAGAAGCTCAAACAGACAATGGCCAACAGAGAGAGCAACGATCTGAACAGCCAGGCTAGCGACAATGGCGGCACCCCAGGCAATCGTATAGATACACAGCAGTCCACCAACGACCCCCAACCTCCATCCATTAGGACCCGCGGTGAGTCCTCTCGTGCTCACGTTAACCCGTGGGAGCGTAATCCTTCTCGGTGGATAAACAACTTACCCCGCCCAGACTCGACGTATGGCATCAATGATGACTACGGGGTTGGCGAGGACCCAGTTTTTCGAACGGACCCGAGAAGAGGACGAGAGAGCCCAGGATGCCCGAGACGCCAAGAAGCGTAAAGGAGAGCAGAAAAGCGATTCCGCCTCAAAATCGGAGTGAAACCCGCGATCTCGCTGCCGTGGTGTGCAAGGCTGGCGGCCGGTCCATGAAGCCACCATCTATTGCGCGGGTAAGGCAGCTCCATGCGGTATCTTGTGCCAAGGACCATTTCGATGTTACGCAGGGTTACCACCGCCGCCACGGTGGCGGGCACATGGCGACGGTGGCATTCCATTCGAGCGTCCAAGATCCGCCACTTAGTCTTCAGTCGCCCATTGACTTGTTCAACTATCATTCGCGCCCGCGACTGCTGCTTGTTCCACACGGCTTGCGCGTCCGGGAGTAGCTGGCCAGGGGTTGCTCGAAACGGCACGTAGGTGTAGTTTTTCAGGCCGTATGCCGCATCACTGACGATGCAGTAGTTGCCAATGCCCCCGTTTTCAATCTGTTGTTTTGCTCTTGAATTATTGAAAACCTTAGAATCATTGCAAGACCCCGGCCATCCTGCCAGCATGCTCCAAAGTATCCCGTTGGCGTCGACGAGTAATTGCAGTATAATGCTGAAGAACCCTTTGCGGTTCTTAAAATCTTCCGCGTGAGGTCCGGAACCCCGTGTGTGTATGTAGGTGCCGTCCATGGCACCTACAATCCCAGGGATGCCACTGTCCCATTTAAACTCTGCTTCTGAGTCGGCGAGGGCGTCGGCGTCAGGCCATACTATCCACTCATGAATGAGCACGTCCTCATTGAATCGTATCCAAGCTTTCACAATCGTGTGGGCGTGCGCGTGTGAGAAACCGAAAAGCAAGCCAAGCTGACGATAGGTCATACCGCTTCCGAAGCGTACGAGGACGAGTGCTACTTGAAGCGCCACCTTGCATGCCTGTCTGCCACTGCTGATGAGGTGTTCAGACCACACGCGACAGAGGTAACCAAAAACGTCGTGATCAACTCGCAGTGCTTCGTATAGGTGATCTGGCGACATGTGCAGGAATCTGTCCATCCAACGAGCTCGCTGAATACTTCGGTCATTTCGCCAGAAGGACTGGTAATCACTTTCGTCAGCGTAGTCGAGGAGCAACGGCACCATGACACCTACTGACGCAACCAAGGGGATGAGCACGACGTGCGTGAGGCCCATTGCTAAACGTCGTGCCTATCTGGGTGTGAAAGGTGTGGCCATGTTGGACAATGACTAGAGGGTAGGGGTGAGTGTGCCTTTGTATGCGCCCGCCACACTCGGTTGGGGTACACGCCACAACCTTCGCCGAGGCGGGTTGTAAATGGAGCCGCGGATCACATCTTGACCCTCTTTTCCATTCGACACAGTTTAGTTTGTGTCACCCTAGGTACAATATGTGCGACGCCGTCGCACAATCCGGCCAGTCGCTCAACCTGCAAATCTGACACTTTTGCAATCAAGCCTGTAAGTCGGCCACCAAACCTGTCAGTTTGCAGCACCGTGCAAATTTGGCCGGAAGGTGGTCGGTGTTGAATTCGACCATACAGTCGAATTTGGCGAAAGGTATAGCCGACCAAAAGGGCGACAAAATTGCAGCCAAAACACAATTTTTTGAGAAACTTTCTCTTGATAAGGTCAAAATCAGGGACCACAGAGTCGATACCCTATTAAGTCAGGGTCCACTAACAGGCTAGTTTGTTACACTATACTCAAAATCAGTGATAGGAAAACTAATACTATGATTTGAACAGGGTTGAGAACTTAGTAATTCTGAAATCTCAGTCTTCGCAAAGTGGAAAGCCTGAAATCACCTTGAAATCAGGGTAATTACCCTAATAAAATCAGCCCCGGATGGGAATCGGGATGGGACCGACCATTTTGATCCGTGCAAGTGTCAGAATTACATTATTATAACTACATGTAGATCTAGCAGTAGTGTAGTTATCACATTCTGTTTGGTGGATTACCCCCTTTCCTCCCCTATTTGTACCCTTGACTCTATAGTGAAAGCCCCTTCTCCTTGCACTAAACTCTCTCGACACCCTTCCTCTCAACCCTTGCCATGGCTCCTAAAGCCACTACCTAAGTCCTCCTTCTAACGGCAAGTGCTTCTTATAAATTGAACAGTTTCTTTCCTCACCCGCGCGTCGGTCAGTACCGTCACAAACGTGGAGGTGATCAACTAACTCGTTCATAGACCTTCCTTTTGTAGGACCCTTGCCTCTTATGTCAAATGTTGTAGCCTGTAGTGAGGTTTGTCTTAGGGGGTACAAAAGTTAGGGTTTGTTATATGTACCCCAACCAACATCAATGCATCATCAGTTCCTTTCTTAACATGGTATCACCTAGGTTCGGATCCTGTGGGATCCCGCTCCTCCCGACCTAGTTCGTTTCGCCCGAACCTGTCTCACTCTGTCGTACTAGTTGCACACGTCTTGCCCGAGCCTAGCGCCGGCCCGCTCTAGTCGCGTTCGTTCGTTACCGCCCGTTCCGCCGATCCACTGTTCTCGTAGCGTAGCGACCTTCTCCCCCCCCCCCCTCCCCCCTGCTGCCCGTCGCGTTTCCCCCCCCCCCCCCCCCTGCTGCCCGTCGAGTCGCGTTTTTCCCCCCGCTGCCCGTCGGGTCGCGTTTTCCCCCCCGCTGCCCATCGAGTCGCGTTTTGCCCCCCGCTGCCCGTCGAATCGCGCCTTCCCCTGCCCCCGTCGCGTCGCGCTCTCCCCGCCCGTTGTCCCGTCGTGCCCTCCCCCGCTGCCCGTCAAGCCCGTCGCGTCGCGCCTGCCCGCCGTCGCGTCCCTACCCCCGCCCTACGCGCCCGCCGCGTCGTCTCTACGCCAGCGCGCCCGCTGCGCCCGCGCCTCCCCGCGCCCTACGCCCTGCGCCCGTCACCCGTCGCCTCCCTACGCCCTGCGCCCTGCGCCCGCGCCTCCCCTCGCCCTGCGCCCTGCGCCCGTTCCCTCCCCGCGCCCTGCGCCCTGCGCCCGCGCCTCCCCGCGCCCTGCGCCATGCGCCCCTTGCCTCTCCGCGCCCTGCGCCCGTACCTCCCCACGCTCTGCGCCTGAGTGCTCGCTGCGCCCGTTTGCCATTTGCCTGCCGCTCTGCTCTGCCTCCGCTTTTCCGTCAGTTTTAGCTATGGCGACTCCTCGTGTTCTTCGTTTCAACGCTGACGGTAGACCCCTTGACTTTTCACTCTGGCTTATGCGCGCTCGCCGTCTATTAGAGAGTCAGGTCCAGTCAGGCGAGACCCTCTGGGCGCACGCTACTAGCGCCCTCCCTGCGCCCCCCGAACCTACGCCTTTAGGCCCTGCCCCTGACGACGCCGCTAGAGCCCACTTTGCCATCCAGTGCGCTGACCTGACGGCTTGGACGTCGCGTGACGCTGCGGCCTGCATCGCGCTCAGCACCCTCCTCCCTGAGTCTGAGGAGGTCCACTTTACTCAGGTTCGCACTGCTGCTGAGTACCTGACTGCGATTAAGGCCCGCTACTCCACTCCTGCTGCTGTCTCTCTTGGCCGCCTTTTCCTCCCGTTCCTGTTTCCTGATCTCGCCTCATTTGAGCGCTCTGCTGACTTGATTGCTCACCTCCGCTCGCTCGACTCTAGTTACCGCGCTGCTTGCACTGAGGCACAACTTGCACTGCTTCCTCCCCCCGTGGCGATTACTATCTATTTCATTGTCACTAGCCTCCCTGACCGCCTTGCCTCCGTTCGTGACGTGCTTCTGCTGAAGCACCCTAGTGAGCTCACTATTGAGGTCCTTGAGTCTGCGCTCAAGGACGTCGAGAGCAACCTCCGCTCCGTAGCCGCTGCCTCTGGTGCTGTGCCCCCCCCACTCTTCCACGGGTGCACAGTCCCGCAGTTGCCCACCTTTACTGCCTCTCTCGCCACTGCCGCTACTGACGCGACCGCAGCTGCTGTTACGACTTCGTCGCGGTCCCGCGGTAGGGGTGGCAAGAAGGGCGGTGCTGGCAATGGTGTTGGTGGAGGCGGAGGTAGTGGGGGTGGCGTTGCGACTGGCGGTGGTGGGAGTGCAGGGCCTGGAGAGACGTCTCGTGCAGCGACCGGTGACTCCACTGCGCCTGCTGGTGGTGGCGACGCCCGAGTTCGTCAGTCGCCCCCTGTACTGCCAGCCCCGGTGGGTGGAGCAGCGGCGTGGTACCGGGCCCAGCGTCAGCAGCAGCGGCCCCTCTCCTCCCTGCAG